CCAAAGTGCTGAGATTACAGGTGTGAGGCACAGCGCCCAGCCCAAAGTTAGTCCTAAAATGTAAATAACATGTGGAATGTGTCATAAAAAAAAAAAACCTTTGAGTTACGCTTAATTCCTGTTTCTCTTTACCTCACATTCAATCCATCAACAAACCCTGCCGACCTTCAAAGCATATTTAGAATCTGGCTACTTACCTCTTCCACTACCACCCGCTAGATCCAAGCCACCAAACATCGCTTGCCTGGATTACTCAAGAGCCTCCTACTTGGTCTTCCTGCCTCTACACTTGCCCCACTCCCCTTGATCCATTCTCAATACCTTACCCAGAGCAATTCTTTGAAAACATTATATCACGTCACTCCCTTGCTCAAAGTCCTGCAGTGGCTCCTCCATTCCAGAGCCGAGACCAGTGGCCTACAAGGTCTATACAATCCGTGTGCCTCCTTACCCTCCCCAAACGTACTTCTCTTACTTTACCTCCTTTTACTCTCTCCTTCATTCACACACTGGACTCCTTGCTGCTCCATAAGCTCTTTGGACATGTTCCTGCCTTAAGACCTATGGCACTTGCTGTTCCTTTTCCTGAAACGCTCCTCTCTCAGATATCTGCTTGGCCAACTCCCTCACCTCTTACCTCCTTCAATCTAACTCAACTCAAATACTACCTTTCTGAGGCACAGTCTCACTCTGTCGCCCAGGCTGGAGTGCAGTGGTGTGATCAGGGCTCACTGCAGCCTTGACCTCCTGGGCCCAAGCGATACTCCCACCTCAGCCTCCAAAATAGCTGGGACCATAGGCAAATACCACCATGCCCAGCTAATATTTTTTATTTTATATTTTATAGAGACAGTGGTCTACATTGCCCAAGGTGGTCTTCAACTCCTGGCCTCAAGTGATCCTCTCACTTCAGCCTCCCCAAGGGCTGGGATACAGCCATGAGCTGCTGGGATACAGCCAAATGTTACCTTTTTGATGAAGCCTACCCTGATCAAACTACTTAAAATAGTAATAGCTCTACTTTTTTTGAACTTTCCTGGTTTTAGTACCAGAAGTTGCACATCCCACTTAGTCCTGTTGCCTTAGTCCTGAGCAAACCAGGATGTTGGTCACCCTAACTATAATTTTCTAGTTTTACTTTCTGTCTCTTCTCACGACAATATATAAGTTTCACGAGGGCAGGGATCTGTGACTGCTGTGATCACACAGAACAGTGCCTGGCACATAATAGGTGCTCAATATATAGGGCTTACCCACCTGCCCATCACTACCTTAATCAGCCTCTTCCAAGAAGTCACCTAGCAAAGTAGCTAGAAGTAATTACGTGTATCATTTTGAACTCTTCAAATTTAATTCTACTAACATTTGAAACTGTGGCATTACAAAGTATGAGTGAGGCCAGGCGCAGTGGCTCACGCCGGTAATCCCAGCACTTTCGGAGGCCGAGGTGGGCGGATCACAAGGTCAGGAGATCGAGACCATCTTGGCTAACATGGTGAAA